CTGGAAGTTGTATTACACTTGTTTTTGGCTCATGTTCGCCAACCATTCATGCAATTTCATTTATTCATTTTTTTAAATTAATAATCGATACTTGGCATCAAGAATCGATGCAGTAGATCACGAAAATTAGAATCACGATGCATCATCATGACGATTATTTTGCACACCCCTAATTAGGATGCTCCAATCAGGATTTTTGCTCCTGATGCCGATCACACCGACTGGCTGGTAGGGTTTGGATCTATGCTCCAACTGGCCATTGGATCCTATAATCAGCTAATAAAAAAAAAAAAAAAGATACTTGCTGGAAATATTCAGTCAAAAGGAGGAATTAGAAACCCTGAAAACTGTTGCAGGTATAAATAACAGTTAATATCACAAAACTGCTGATATTAAAAAATGTAAAGTTGAAAGAAGGCTTCAAAGTTTCCTTCAAATTAAGAATCTTAAGTTACTAAATCAATGGTTGCTTAGGTTCCTGCACCTCCTCCTCCTTCCTGCACCTCCTCCTCCTTCCTCCTGCACCACCTCCTCCTGGCTCCCCTGGTTTTTAATCAGACTAATGGTGCAGAACTCGGGGAGGAAGAAGAGCTCCTTCAGACGACTAATGAAATCGTTTTCCAGGTTGTTTCTCGCTCTCATGGAGGAAAGTGTAGCGTCGCTTTACCTGCTGTCTGACTTGTTCTTTGTTTCTGCTGTGAGCCTCTATAACCCATCACGCTCTGTGTTGTTGCTGGTTTTTAGACGTCACGTTGCGTTGATGAGTTTAGACGTGCTTCACCTCCGAGGAATTTTTCCCGTTGGACACAAACTTCCCATTTCTCTCAAAGCAGCAAAGTCCGTGTTTAGGATTTACAGCTGCAGTGTGAAGGAAAGAGGCGGGGCCTATATAGCTGATGGGTAAAATTGTCCGATTATGATCAGTAGCTGATTGATCGACTCACCTCAAGTTTAACGCATCGTCTGTTTGGAGTTTGGTTCCCAGTCCTCATGTCTTCCCTCCACTCAACTTTCCATCCATATGCTTGAATGCAGCTTTTTGTTGGTATAAAGTTTCTTTTATTTCTCGTTCCAGATGAATGGAAATGAAAGTTAGTTTTTCTGGTTAGCGCCATAGATTAGAAGCACTTTGATGGTTTTATTAAATGTTAGCTGTGAAATGATTTCATTCTCCTTTTCACTACTTTTCCAATCCAAACTTCACTGAATGTAACGTTTCTCCTCCTCCTCCATCAGAGATCTACCGGATCGTCTCCCAGAAGCAGATGTCGGAGCGCCAGGAAAGCGACATGTCGCCTAGCAACAACGTGGTCAACATCCAGGTGCAGCCCACCGAGAACAAACCAAAGATGCAGTGCTGTCAGAACATCTAGCCCGGCGTTGGATCTGCTGCTACCTCCCCCCCTCCTCTCCCTTCCTCCCCCCGTCCCGAACAGACTGCCTCGGCGTAGAAAGATCGAGCCGCAGATTCAATCCTGCGACCTGAACTCTTTCACCCCTCCCCTTTCCCCCCCCCCTCCCCCTCCTGTCTTTAGGCTACTGCAGGACAGCAGGCATTCATATCACCATAGATTCCATTACTGTAGATGCGCTGACATGTCACTGAAATGTCTTAAATATGAATGTGATTCTTTTTCTTCCAGCTCTGTGCTTCTGATGATTTCTGCTTCATGTTTGTTTCACGTCAATCCCAGCTTTCCCCGTCCTATTAGTCCCGCCCCCTCCTCTTTAGTGGACGAACCGAGCGCCCGTGCTGCAGAAACGTCACACCGTTGAATCTGATCTGATCTAAGCAGTTCTAGCCTAGCCTAGCTTAGCTTAGCCTAGCGGTGGGACATAGAAGACGCATCAGGCTGTCCTTCACCAACTTTCAGTAAAACACGTCATTTTGTCCCATTTCTGACTCCAACTATGCAGAAACAGCACAGGCTGCTTGGATCCCCTGTTCAAGCACTTCTAAAGCGAATGAAGGACTGAAACGCTAATATTCCTGAATGACATTCCTTTGATCGGCTGTTATGTTAGACTGATTGTTGCAGCTCATTCTGCGTTGCATGTAGGGCCAGAGCGGAGCCTCACAGGCTGGACTTCATGAGCACCAAGCGTCTGAATCTTGCACTGAATATTAACCCCACCTGCTTTTCTTTAGAGTTCGATTTGTTTTCTGCACTTATAGAATGAGAACCACTGTTATTGAACCACTGCGTGAAGCCGAGGAGCTTTCTGGAAAACAAAGGAATCAATCTGAGGTGGATTGATGGAGCTACCTTCTCCCCATCTCATTTTCCCACCTCCTGGCGTCGCCGTCACATGAAGCCTACGTACACCGCGCTGCCTCTGACTTCGACACGATGCATGGCTTTCTGTCGTACCGCCTTACGTAGCGAACATACCCATTCCATCCGCTGGAAGCATGAAGGCGACGCTCCGACGGGGTGCCGTTTGTTTCCAGCTCTGACCCCCTGAGTGCGTCCTGCTTGTAGTTTAAATCCGGAGTGTGTGTGTTTAGTGGTAGAGGGCAGCCTCTCTGGACGAGCTGATTCCTTTGGTCCGAGTTCTGATCCTGTTCCGCCACGGTTCTCTGTCCTCGTTGTTTTTTTTTTAAACCGTTTTTTTTTTTTTTTTTACTATATTCTGTAATTGACTGTAATTTCATTGAAACACGAGTGAAATGTCATTTCAAAGGAAGTCGGACGGTGAAACGTGAGCGAGGGTCAAAATGAATGGTTTTATGTTTTGTACAGACCAATGAATTGTACAATTATGTCTATATCTTAAGTTATCAGTTTATCTTAATAAAGCGCACCAGTCATAAACCTTGTTAGGATCTCAGTTTGGTTCATTTACTCACATCTCACCAGAGTTTGGTGTTTCCTGCAGTGAGGATCCATAGCTGAGAGGACTTTCAGCTGGAGTTTTCCTGTTCTTCTCTTAGATCTGCTCAGAGCTGCAGTTCAGCCTCCTTCATTCAGATGCTTTGTTTCTGGGAGGTGAATCATTACCCGGAATGCACTCCTACACTGATGACTGACGCATCTCATCAACAAATTTGTGTTCTTGTATAAAACTGAACTCATGACATCACTTCCCCCTGAGTAAGGCCGACTTTATTCAGGTTAGGAACTGGGATTCAATGCAGTCTATACATCTATTCAGACATTTCTGTCAGATGAAGGAACAAGAAAAGGAACCAAACAGGAAGATAAGTCTCCATCTGATTGTCATGTGTTATTGCCACCTTTGAATTTAGACATCTTCAGTTTTAAACACCTCCAGCAAGATAACCGAGTAGCTTTGGAGTGCCTTAAGGCTGAGTGCTCAGGCTCCTTTTTATTCTAAACTTAGTTCTTCTGGTGCTTCCAGATGTTCCTATAATACAAATGGGATGTTAAGGAAAATATGATTTGTATCAGTTGGTAAAAGAATTTCAGAATTTTTTGGGGGTCAAACTCCAACTTTTGGATCAAGAGAATTATTTTTTTTTAAACCGACCTAATTCTGTTCTGCTTGATTAGTACAGGGTTTCAGCCGGTCATTAATCAGTAAGTCAAATTATTTTTTTCAATGTTTTTTAATTGCCATTAAAATTCATTAAATGTGTTTATAGTGGCATTTAAAATACTTTATTAAAAACATTTCCTAATATATTGCAGATGCACTGGAAAAATGCACCTAGAAATAAGTAAAAAGTTCTTAAGTGTATTTACACTTGATTTGAATAGGTGAATGAGAGTTTGCCAATGCACTGGAAAAAGGATCTAAAAATAAGTAGAAATGTCTTAAATTAGGTGTATTTACGCTTAATTTGAGTAGGTAAATGAGATAGTTTGCCAATGGAATGAGTATTTTTGCTCTTAAAATAAGAAAACTAGATAAAATGCACCTGAAATAAGACAATGCAATTGTGTTTTCTTACTGTAAGTGTCAATTGTCTTGTTCCATTTGCAAAATCTCTCTTTTACCTCCTCAATCCAAGAACAAATACACTTATTTTAAGAAAAAACAACTTCTCTAGATTTCGATTTTTTTCCAGTGTGGATTGAGTATTTTTACTCTTAAGATAATATGCACTTGAAATAAAACAATGCAGTTGTTTTTTCTTATATTACATCTAAATAGTTTGGTTCCGTTGACAATATGTCTCTTATTTCCTTAATTCAAGAAAAAATACATTTATTTTAAGAAAAAGTGACTTATCTAGATTTCCATTTTTTCCAGTGTATAACTGGTTCTGCATGTTTGCGCGGAATGCTTCCAGTTGATTGTAAAGCCTTATGTTTGGAAAAGAAACTTGAGGCAGAGAAAAAGCTAGGGAATGGAAAATGCAAATTTCAACAAAAGTGGCTGGAAAAGAAAGAATTCAGGACATGGCTGCAGCCTGTAGACGGTAAAGATGACAAAGGATTTTGCTATGTTATGGGTCATGGATAATTGTTCATGGCATCAAAATTATTTGTAAGAGCATTAAAAAGCATTAAATTAGAGTTACTCATTCCTGTATAATCCGTGTAGTAGGTTCCTCATCTTGGCCTGTATGTCTGCAGGAAACCTTCATGTGGTTTAAATCAATCTTGGATTTTAATATGCAGGGTTGAGATGAATTATGGAAAAAAAAAAATGTCCACCCAGACAATATCAAAATTTTCCATGAAGGATCCAAAGAAGGAATTCTGACTCCTGGGTTTTCTCAGATGTCTGAGCTCCTTCAGCTGGTTCATTTTGAGGAAAGTTAGATCATTTCCAGGAGAATAAAAATCATTCCACCTTAAACAGCAATTTAAAGATGGGTGATTATCTAAAACGTATCCACCTGACTTGTTTGGACTCAGTCTACTGATCCAGCACCGTTTGGGTCTATTAATAATTGGAATGGTGTGCAGCGGCTCCCATTGGGACAGGACTTTCTGAAACCACCTGAGCTTTATTTATGACCAGCTTTATGATCTGTCTGCATGATGCAAATGTGAAAATGTTCCCACCTTTGCTTTCTGTTTCTGGAAAACAATCCTAACTAAGTAGTTTGGAATCTAAACTTGGAGAAGAACTGGAGGGATTTTATTTGTAGCTCCTCCTCCAGGTTAAAGCTGTTACTACAAGGAGTCACATAAGAAACCAAAACATTAATAAAAAACAAACTATCTGACTTTTCTCACTATTTTTCTATTTCTTTCTTTGGCATGCAGGAGAATTAAGCTCAACACAATAGAGAAAAAGCACAACAATATAAGTATAGTCCACACAGTCTACAGAAGATAAAAATAGAAAATGTTTTCCTTTGTGGGATCTTGAGCTGTTTAAACAGGAAATACGAAAATGGATGTAAAAATATCAGAACTTTACACCAGGTTTCCTCCTCTACACTGTCAAGACCTGGCAGGACCAAGAACCGTTGAGACGTTCCTCACTGAAGAGAGATTTTTTCCAAGCAACCTTTTCCTACAGTTCCTTTAACCTGGAAAACCATGGATCTGTGTTCCCGAATGGATCCACACATGTGCATCCGTTCTTTCCCTGTCTGGAAAGTTCTGGTCAAGATGACAATGTACAAAATTGATTGTATGTTTTATGGTGATAAAATGGCAGCAGAGTTCTGACGCTGCACCACAGATGATTTCATAAATAACAGATCTGCTCTAAGAACCGAGGTCCAGAGTCCCACGGCCCTGGATCCTGGATCCATAGAGTTTCTGGTTGTGAGGGAACTGGGAGCGTCCCGGTCGTGGGGCTCAGAGCAGTGAGCTGGTCGGGCTCCCTGGCAGGGGGGGGCTGTGGCTGTGGGACGGGCTGGGCCGGACCGGCAGCAGGTCGTAGTGGCTCGGGATGTGGCTGTTCCTGGGAAGGTCGTACGGGCTCTGGGAGTAACCGGGAAGCAGTCCGGGGATGATGCTGATAGTCGGCTCTAATGGATGGATAAAAAAATAAAAGTAAATAAAAATCCAAATTACCTTAGAGAAACAACTAAAACTAAACATTCTTAGTATGAAGGAGAAGAAAACAACTTTACTGAAGTAATTTCCAAATGGTAGGAAAACTGAGGATGATAAATAGAATGAGTCAGATTTAGTTCCTGCTTGTAGGCTGTATCCGTATCTAAAGACACAAATCATTTAATTTACATTCACTGCTTTCTGTAACCAATTCCTAAAAAGCTGAGTCTATGGTTGCTATGTTGACCCCCTCCTTCCAGGGGAACAGGAGGGGAAACAAGCCCACAGCATCACTGTTTTCTACTGGCAGGCAGACAGAAACAGTCTGTGTGAAAAATCCACTTTTCCATCCTGTTTCAGTTTTGTAAAGCCCGGGTAGTGATTCTACACGGCTCTGCTGATGGACAGAGCAGCAACCAGTAAAACCAGTTGTTTGTTATGACCCCCATCTGCTGGACTTCAGCTTGTAATGCAGTTTTCTCAAACTGATATAAATAATCTTCTCAGAGTGATGAGAACAGCAGGCTGATAAATTCCAAGGATTCCTTTTACTGGCTGAAACAAATCCTCATGAAGCTCATTAAATACACACAGCTTTGCTTTTTTGGAAAAACTAACTGACTTGTTGTTAAAGAAACAAGCAAAGAAGTGTTTAGATCTGATCATCATAAGGTAACTTTATAACTATTTAAAAAGAGACATTCATATTGGTAAATTGGTTCTGGAGTTCCTCAAGGTTCGCTGCTAGGGACCCTTCTGTTTTACAGCTAAATCACCCCTTTGGATCTGGTTATCTGTTAATATCAACGCAGACGTAACTTTGATTTGTCCAAAGCTAAATTAAGAAGCAGCAGAACCCTTGACTCAGAGGCAGGGGTAAGACCTGAAAACCTTAAACATATCTCTAAACTCCAACAATTAGACAACTTAGTGGAATTAACCCAATTTTTCTTTTGTGTAAACTATAGTAGCAGCCAATCAAAATGGCCCTTCCCAGTCAGAAGCCAGCCGAAAGGCAGCAAAATCCCCTCAAACTTCCAGCCTCTGGCCTTCTCCTGGGCGTGCATCATTTTTACTCTGACTCCACCCTTTTACTGGATTACAGGGTCTGACCAGGAGATGACTAGCCTAGTAAACTAGCCCCACCCACCAGCGGCCAAAATCATTTTTGCTTGCGAGTGGTCTAGCCTCGATCAATGCCCCAGGCCCTAGAACTGGCAGGCCAATCACAACGCAGAGAGGTGTTTTGAATTTCTGGATGCAAAGCAGGCGGGATTTTGAGGGTGTGACGACAAAGCTGTGCAACACTGGAGAAAGCACAACAAGGAAGATGGCAACAACTACTGAACAGTTCTCGTTTGACTCAGCTTTGGAATCAGTTTTGGAAGGATTAGACTTGGAGTTTTCTTTGAAACGTGAGCAGGAAGAGGCTCTAAGCACATTCATTTTTAAGAAGGACGTATTCGCCGTTTTACAGATAGGCTGTTTGTTTACACTGCCCAACAGCTTTCTGTATCTACATCACAGTCAGTTGTGCTCATTGGTCAGAGCGTTGGCCAATAGGCACAGACAGCGGTTTGAAAGACAACGGGTTTTTCTCATCAACAATCTTCCGATGTGTCATTCATCGGGGCCAGACTAAATTACACTTTTAATCTCACATTTAGTCTGGTCTATCAGGCTAGCAGATGATGCTTCTCTTTAGGTCTTAATGTCAACAAATCATGACAGAAATACCGTATTTTCACGACCATAAGGCGCACTTAAACGTCTTTTTTTTTCCTCAAAATGTGCGGTGCGCCCTATGGT